TTGTCTATTTGAGCTGATGGCTAACTGATGGAAATGAGTACATTTATCCAGTGTGAGATCAATAAAAGCCAATCAATCAATTAATCAGTCAATCAAAAACGTCCCCTTCTCTGAGGTAACGCTAATTTCATTTTTTCCCCAAGACATTTTTTTTGTTTTGTTTTTTGCAGTTTTTCCTCTGCCTCAAATGTAAATGTGACGGTTTCAGTATACAAACTTTAGAAAATTAAGAATTGTCAGAGCATAGGCATGCACAGACTTTTTGAAGGCCAGGGACACAAAGAAGTAAAAGAGCAGACTTAGTGCATCCTCGCTGCTGTGGAGGGAACTTTAGCAGATGTTTTAGCTTCCCACCAGGCACTTTAACACACATTTTTGCCTCCAAGGAGAAACTTTAGCATGCTTTCTTTGCTCCCGAGATGGTATTTTAGATCATGCTTTTTCTTCCAAGAAAGCACTTTAGCATGCGACCCCCACCCCTGCATGCAACTGATGCTGTGATGAGTAAAGGGTTCATTATGCTATATGGATGCACAATCCATGAGGAAACTGAGCCACTGGTCACGTCTGCAGGATTTATATTCTGTGCAGCTTTTCCACCATTCTAGCCGCCGTTTTCAGCAAAAACAGCAATCTGACAAGCTACACGAGGAAGTAGAAAACAGCAGTTTGTCCAAAATCTATGGGCTAAATCACTGGATCTCTACATGTTTACATTTGTGAACAATTATTAGTGGGAGCTGCTGCTCGCTTGCCATGTTTTCTGTCCACGTTGTTACTAATTTTCATAGGTGTGTGGTTCGGAAAGTCTGGCCAAACAGATGCCACGCAGAGTGGCATCCCAAAATTATGAAATTTCACCACGCCGGCCACATGGACGCGTCAAGCATAAACCAGGCTTAAAGCACTTTGTTTACAGTTTGAAACATTAATCTGTGTGGAAACACAAATGTCAGTTGCAGTGTAGATTGATATGTTTTTAGACATTGTATTGTCTACTATTATCTGTCTCTATGCTAAACCTAATCGAAGTCCCAGAAGTCTATTAATGTCTATTAATGTTTTTTTTATTATTATTATTATTAAAAAACTTTAAAAAAAACAGAAGCTGTTTTTGAAAGAATTACTGGTTTTATGTAGAATTTCTTAGACTTTCCAACTCTGTGAAAATGATTTAAGGGATACTTCTTGCCCAAGCATTATCTTTTACCCTACTTTATGAAATTCTTTTTGCATTTTCTTGTTTAAATAGATTTTTAAACATTTAAACTGTATTGTAATAAAATTAGACATGCAATTTTTTCCTTTTTTAAGGGACAGCCAATGAAAAATAACTCAGCGTGGCCTAATGATTGATTGAAGAGCTGTCCAGGGAGTAATAATCAGACAGGAACTAGCGACCTTGTAAGGATAAGTGTATGGACAATTTGAGATGCACCTATATGAAAATATGAGCAAATATTATTATTGCATTTGTGGCCGATAACTGATATTTACCGCTATCCTATTTCATGTATTTCTTGACCCTTATGACACCATGAAAGACTAAAAACAGCTGAAATTGTTTCTTACTACAGTTGAACAGGGACAATCCTGAGCTGCATTTTCATCAGGGACACATTACTCAACAAATACCACGTGACCAATCTCCTCTCCTCCCCATTCTTAAGATAAATAAGCGACTACATGGAAATAAATATCGGTTTTTAATAAACTATCCCACTTTTACTTATCACACTGATACAGAGATGCTTATAATGACCAACATTGGTAGATTTGAATGCTGATATTTGGTGCATCCTTATGGAAAATGAAAAAATAGATAAATCTGTCCAGGTTTGACCATTCTTTAAGGGCTTTAATTTGTTCTGATCTAAAGATGACGTTTAAAGATGACTGTTTGGGTGTTTTTCACAACAGGATTTTACAAAATCTTCTACAGTTTTCATAAGAATTTCTGTTCAGTGCAGAAAAACATGTATGTTTAACCATTAGTCAGTCATTTTAGATGATTAAAAGCGGATTAATGGCCTTCCAGAATGCTTTTAAAGTGCCTCATTAGATCCCAACGTCAACTGCAATGCTTTGCCTGTACGTCCGGTTTTTTTTAAACAATTAATTTGATCTGGAAGTGGAAACCTGTAACCATGATCTAACCATGACTGTCCCAGTTTAAAGACGTCTCAGTTCTGATGAGGTGGCAGAAACCAAAATAGCCTTGTGTCTTTTGTTTTTCTGGTTTTATCAGGTTAAAGGCATGCTGCTGTTCTGCTTGTTTGGGAGGTAGCTATTTATGTCACGGGAGGATTATTGTCAACAACAGAGTTGAAGTTAGGGCAACAGGGTGTTGCCGGGGCTGTAAAGTAGGGCAACAAAGGCCTCTGTTTAAGTAGTTTGCCATGTGTGCTCCTTTTGAGGGCTTTAATGTTTTGAATTGAATACTTATAACATACGAAGTGAAAAAATGTGTTAAAATAAAACATGTTAGTCCCTGAGCAGGACATTTTTTTAATCATTAATGAACCTGAAGGATGGTACTTCAGATTTTCTTTTCCTATTTGTAGTTTTGATGTTACACTGCAAAAAATTTTAATCTGCATAAGTAATTTTTTCTTAAAATAAGAGCATTTTTTCTTGAATTGAGGAGGTAAGTGATGCATTTTGCCAATGGAGCGAGACAATTTACATTTAAAATAAGAAAAAACAATTCCATTGTCTTATTTCAAGTGCATATTGTCTAATTATCTTATTCTAAGAGTAAAAATACTCATTCCATTGGCAAACTATCTCATTTACCAACTCAAACAAAGGGTAAATACGCTAAATTTAAGACATTTTTACTTATTTGTAGATAATTTTTCCAGTGTAGAGGTGAAGATGTGGCCACTTGATGACTTCAAAAGTAATAATAAGAGATTTATTTCATCTTTATATTAAAAAAACAATCAAAGAGGAAACGAATTATATTTGTGCAACATATCTATTTCATCTAGATCTGTCATTTTGAAATAGCTTTGGGTTTTTTTCTTTTGTACCGCTCAGGTTTAGCCTCTAGATGGCGGTAGATCTCTAGGTTTCTCAACCTGTTTATATTATTTCACTGACCCGTTGTCACTAAATGTTACACTGATTTGATCAGCATACTTTCTTAAAATATCTTTTAAGCTAATTAATCTCACTATCTCTAAATAAACTGACCCAGTTTTATAATGCTCCATGATCCAGAAGGCGTGGTGTTTTTTAAAATGTGACTAGAAGTTTATATATTTCTTTTTTCAATGAATAACCAAGAAGCAAAAACGTTGAAACTTCAGATGTGTTTTTTTTTCACATTTAAGAACCATAAGAGGCAAAAAGCTTTAATTTCCAAAAGTTCTACTGGAGATAAATAGACTTTCGGAAATTAAAAATGTTCACAACTTAATTGGGGAACTTAAAAAATAACAAATAATTAAATAGCTGAAGTTCTTACATGAAATGTCAAATTTGTATGATGAATGTTTTTGCACATATGTGAAATATTTTCCAGTTGTTTTTAACCTGACATTTCTCCAAGCAGAAATGCTGT